ACACATACATTTCATTCTGTTAGTCAGTGAAACCAAAATACTATTTAATAACACAGTACCACTGCCATGGTTGATAATGGAGTGAGAATTGTTATTTGCAGATTGTCAACTCGAGAGGAATAGATTTGTTGCTGTTGATTAAAAGTTACCATTTACAATGTTGATAATGGTTAAGATTGAATGATTACTTGTTGACATATAAAATAAGTCCATGTTACCAGTTTTTTCCATGTGAAATAGATGTTTATGTGGTACTACAGATAAAATTCACCTGTGCAACTGATATTAACTGGATGTTTTAACAGCCTGAGCAAATGTCTAAAGACTAAAGAAATGAGAAGGTGCTATTGTTTCACACCTAGTCCTAATCCTTCTAGAAAAGAAAAAAAAAACAAAAAAAAAACAAACCCTTCCCCAATAAACATGATATAAAACAGGAAATTTGCACTGCTAGAGTCCATGTTACACTTACTCTGACTATGACAAGGCCATCTGACACTTTTATGAGGAAATAGAAATACACTTTTCAAACACTTGCCTTCCTTTGCTACCTGCAATTACCTACAAGTCCCATTAAATGCTTACAAATCTCATTATCATACACAAATGAGCCATACAGAGTGTTGATGTACCCCGTGCTTGCGGAAGTGAAGCTTTATTCAGGGCAGAAGAAACATACGATCAAATCCTGCATTATCTATTTCTATCTCTGACAAATGCTGTAAATCCTCAGTAAATAAGAAGTGTCAAGCCGTAACAAATGGTTGAGGCTTCATTTCTGCATCATTACTGGTTTTGTTTTGCTTCTGTTTTTGTAACCTACTTTGCTTCTGTTCCTGTAATTCTCTAATTGCCAAAGAAAAGTGGGAGAAGTGCTGGATTAATTTCATATGTCTTTCTCAGAAAAAAAATGCAGAGATTGGAGTATTTAAACTCAGCAAGAGACTCTAGAAATAGTTAGAACTGGGTTATGCAATCCTGGAAATGTCACCTCCACTTGGTTCATCTCACTTCCCTTCAGTTAGACTTTGCAGCAGCTTAGCTCCTCCATATCAGCCAAGAGAGAGGAGCTTATAATTGGATACAAGTGTTCATATTCACTCCTTCACCTTGGAGAAAATGAAATGTTGTCAGCAAGTTTAGGTGGTTATCAGTTCCCTGGGTAAAGTCCTGCAGCCGCTAATCATAGGCTGTCCTCACTTGTTAATGCAAAGGCTGCTGCCAACCTGGGAGAGAGAACTGCTGCCACATGGTATTTGACCAGCATGCTTTAAGCCCTTTCAGGACTGCCAGAAAGTTACTGCCCTGCAGTTTGAGAAGTAATTGTTAAAAATCCCCAGCTTGTCATTATACCTACAGTTTTCTTGTAAGCCACCTTTGGGTAAAGATAGCTCTGCATATCTGAAAAAGCTTTAATATTGGAGGAACATGTACACAGAACATGCACATAGAGGTTAAAGTTAGGCAAGCTGCCAAAACAAAGTAGTTTTGCTCAGCACTGGCTTCAGCTTTCACACACCTGCTCTGTAATTCACCAACTTGGTACTTTGGTCTTCAGAAGGATCAATGCCTGGACAGAAATCAAGAGAAGTATTTCTAAATACCTCTGAGGATCTGAGTACAGGTACTTTTTGGTTTATCAACAGAGTTCTATTTCTGTATTTTCATCTGGGAGATCCAAGGACACCAAACAACTGATGTTAAAGCATGTTTAATGAATATTGTTGGATTAATTCTCAAAACCCCATCTATTTTTATTTTAACTCTTAAAACCTGTACCTTTATTATAAAGTGCAGTTTTCTAATTAGCTTATTAAAGAAAATATTCACAAATTAAGTGCAGTCCAAATTCAGTTGTTTAAATCTTTAGGCATATTCTTTTATGCACAATTTGCAATATGCAGAGTTTCAGGCAAATGTAGACAAGATGGTTGTGCCCAATCACAACAGCATGTACAGCAAGGTTAACTAGTCAAACTAAATGCCAACAAGTAAGAACAAACCCTATGCTCAGGCACTCAATTTTATGCACGTAATTACTGTGATTTTATCTTTATCACAGATATAGGATTATATTTTTTATTTTTCTGAAAGTGTAGTACTTATAATAGAGACAAAACCACCATCTGAACCAAAGAGCCATTCTGAGTGTGAAAGCAGTGATTCAGATACAGTTCATTAACCTTTTTCATTTTAATTACAATCCAGTCCAAAATTATATTTTTTATATTACACCACAATGACTTCTTTAATTTACCGGAAGTACAAAAAAAAAAGATAAAAGAAAAAGTAAGATCAGAAAATCTTACTGCAGAACTTCATAGTTTTTCTACAAAATTTGGCTGCAAAATATTGCTCTAATAGTAATTTGTGTCAAAGTGTGTGTTATTTTATGGGTTTGACATTGATAGGAACTTTGATAGTTCTGATATGGATAGTCCTTGGTAATTTTTAAAGCACTGACCATTTCCTTTCTCCTGGTTCATTTATTCAGGGTTTCTCTATTGAGCTTTTTAAACTTAAGCACTTAGTCTGAGTCAAACATTTCATTTGTGTTATAGTTTAGGAACTTTAGAAATTACGAGCTAATGGTGTAATTCAGTCCTGCCACTCCCCACTGGAAGCTGAAGGATGCCCACAAGCACTGGAGCTCAAAACCAGGAGACTGAACTATTGCAGTTGTCTCCCTGAAGAGCAGGCTCACAGGGATAACCAGGGTGGCCCTGGCAGGACCTCAGAAGCACAAGAGGGTCTGTGAAGCAGTTGTGTTCCCACTGAGTGAACTCTTCTCCCTGTGGTTTCCCTGCTGTACTCTTCCAGGTACTAAATGAAATCTGGCTCACTCTGTTCTCTGCATTGGCAGCAGGCTCAGCTTGGAAAGTCTGCTTTATGGCTTCAGATTCCATCTTCTCCAAATTTGCAGCATCTTGCCAAAGGATCATTAGAGTCATTTTTGTCATTTTGGCTTTGTAGGAGGTAAAAGACACTATCTTAAGAGCCAGCTAAAAACTCTCAACATTTTTTTGCAGAAGTGGAGATCTGAAAACCTTAAGAAATCTGTAGGAAAGCTTAGAAATGCATCATTAGCACTGGCCTTTTATACATACATATATTTGAGCTACATGGAAATCTTACAGGTAGGTATTTGCCTGTTCAGCTGTTTTCTCAATGGAACTGCAAGTGCTTTGAAGCCATGTCTACGCTATTCCCATTACCACCATAAAGAGGCCTCAGGCTGCAGTGGCTTGTCTGCATCTGCATTTTCCTTAGTTTGCCGGAGGCATATTCCTGCTTTGTCGAGGATGTAGTTCTCAAGGCCTTGACTACAATCATGCAAGCTCTTATATCTTCTTTGAAAAACACCTCTTACTCCTGCACAGATCCTGGGGCCTGTAGAACCACTGTCTGCTGCCATCCTACAGCATCTGCACTGTTCTCAGTGCATTACAGAAAGCTACAGCTTGTGAGGTTGACAAAGGAGAAAGGACAACAGAGGCAGCAAAAATATACAGGTATCTCCAGATTCAAGGAAAGTGCAAAAAAAAACCAACCCATCACCTTGCATGGTTGCTGGAGGCCATTTGGCTACTGGGTCTCCTCTTAAAAAGTTGTTTCAGCACCAGCTGAATCTCTGCTGTTTTCTGATGTACTCAAAGCATGGCAGATGCCACCATCAAATTCATCCAGTTTTGCCAAATCTGGATATGCATTATGAGCATTGGTGATTCACATTCATCTCTTGCTAATTTCTGGATACAAAAGATTACTGTCACGGGACTATCTCAGAAACTGCTCAGTGCTGGAGGTGCATCACACCTCTTTCTGTTTCGCTTCTTCCAGTCTAGAAATGTATAGGTATTTCTCCAGGAAAACTGTGCAAGACTTGAACAGATCCACGGAATAGCAATCTGGCATTAGTGAACCTGTTGTGGCTGTGGATGTAATGAAGTCTGCAGGCCACCACCATCTGTTCCTTTCCTGTCTGGTGAAAGTCTACAGCACCCTGGACATCTTTGCTGTAGTCAGGGGAAATAACACACTCAACTGTGCTAGGTAATGCTAGCCAGTGTTTCCTGGACAAGGCCAGTGCTTAATACAATCACACAGTCTGAGTACCTACAGGCAATTCATGCACACAAGTGTGAGCCATGTGCACATTTACTACAGGTTTCAGAATTACTTGCACTTCCCAGAAAGAAAAACCACACTCATCCCAGTGAAACTGGTATCTGTCATGTGTAGGTGCCCGCCCACATGGTGGCATACCCTCTGACTATGTCATACCCTCTTCTTCCAGCTGACTCCAGTGTACATGGGGACTTGAGCTACATAACTTAATCTGGACGGTGATTAGGTGCTAGGGAGCCTGATATGCCATTTCTATGAAACGTCCTTTCAATGAAAATGCTGCCACATTCACTACAATTTGACAAGTATTTCAGAGTCTGTGCAATTAAGTAGGGAGCTCTTTTCAAGCCGAAGTGGCTGCAGAAGTAGGAATATTTAGCTAGTACTTTTGCAAATCCTCAGCACATACATGGCTTTATCCTACCTCATTGTACATCCTTATCCAGGAGCAATTTCTAGTTTATGTTAGCCCTCCTAGTTGGCAGTCTTCAAAAACGTTTCTAATTCAGGAGCCCTAGGCACTTTAAGGGGGGAAGGTCCAGCTGGTGAGTTATTCAGTTTTTGTGTGGGAATGCCTCCAGAGTTTTCTCTTCCAATGGGTGCTTTTAATCCACTCTCAGGAGCATTGCACACACTGTGTGACATGGAAAAGTGGGCCCTGTACTAGAGTACTGCAAGAAATAGGGTTGTGTAACTATAAGCAGATGTCTGCCCAGTGGTGTAGACTTCCTCCTGTTGTGAAGCTCAGTGCTGATAATGCTGTAATTCAAATAAAATGAGGTGGAAGTCCTTCAGACCAGTGGTTGAGGAGCTGTTCCTATTCAAGTGCCTATCTTACAGTGCTGGGACACAGCCCACAGGGCTGTATCAACTTACCCAGAGACTGTCTGACATGTAGGGAAGGAGTCTTTTTCTCATTTCTAATATTCAGCTCAGTGATTAACATGTCCACTTTGGACACATATTTGCTTTGCAACTTGCATATTTTGAAGACAAAGAAAAATGTAAAGTGTGCAGTACATCAGATTGCTTTCTTAAGGTTTTGTTTTCAGATATTTCTCAGGCTTCTATTTGTCAATCTGCATTACCTCCAATTACCTTGATCATTCATCTGTGGCCAGAATTTCTGGCTCAAACATTCTTCACACTCTCCACCCAACGCTTGGAGAGAAACTGTAATTCCACACAGTTTTTACTTGAGTTTTCAAATTATTTTTTTTCCTATTTCTTTGCATAGGCACTAAACCATAGCTCTGGGGAATCTTTCAGATTTGCTAGTAAAGCTCACCAAAAGGTTTCATAAATTTTTAATCTGAATCCAAAAACAAAAATGAAAGAGGAAATCATAGTTTAAAAATGAATATTACATACTCTATTATCTTTCTTTTATTTGCCTTCAGGTCTGCCTACTTAAAAAAAAGCAGGTGTACTTGTTTCAGTACAATCTAAATCCTTAATGAATCTTCAGCAGTAACGGGCAACACTAACATTTTTGCAAGTTTTTTAATATAGTTTGACAGGTAAGACTATGGAAAGCAGTAGTCCATTCTTTTGTATTTATGAAACAATCTGAGATTCTATAATATCCTGTCCTGACATGATCTATTGTTGTACTCTTATTTCTTGCCCCTGTTATCTGGCTGCTGCTGGAAATTTTACTCATAGGTGCTGATGAGTTGCCTTTGAATACAATCATGTATTGTTGCCTGTTCTTTCAGTCTGGTTTATTTTGGGTGATAAATGAACATCTCGAGGCAGTCATCAGACTTTAATTTGGTTGAACAGATCATAACTGAAAAATCATGATTTTCCTAGAGCGCTGTTGAAGAACAGACAGTAATTTTATATTTAGCCCTACATTGTTTGCTGTTTATTGGTTCTCCGCAATATGCACTACAATGCTTTTTCTAGTACTTATGGAACTACTCATACATGTTCTACTATTACCAGCAACAAAATATGTTTACCCACAGAGCATGTGATATTGGGAAAAACATAGAAACACAACACTATTAACTGTACACATCAAACAGTATGCTTACTTGCTTTACATACTATTAAAACTAGAAAGTCTGGAGAGTCTCAAATTTGAGAAGTTTTATAGTTTGTCTTGCAAGGCTTTTAAACATAGCTGCATATAAGTCTTTTTCTGCTGTTACGTTGATGTAAGTGTATTGGTGACAAGAGATTCACTTCTGATTTGTAAGACTGGAAAGGTTCTACCTCTTCCTCTCCATGTTGCTGTCTTTGCTTTCCTTTCTCTTTCTTTCAGCTAATACAGCCCATACTGATTGAGCTGGAGTTTCCTTTTGTGTTTCATAGATGCATTGAGTTTGAGGACTAGTAAATAAACTCATCTGAGCTCCTCCATGACAAAGACCACAGGATATTGGCCTCCACTGAGCCAAATAACTTGCATGTGGCTGAAAGACATCTTTCAGGAAGCACTTAGTCTTGCTTTGAAGACAGTGAAAGAGGGAGACTGCCACTTCCCCACCTGCATTTTCTTGTACTCTCAGTTTTCCATCTTATAGACAGTGTCACCCAAAATGATATCTTTTCTTACTTTTGGCTACTGTTAGTTGTTTAGCACATGTAGAGTTCTAGTAAAGGTGATATACAGGAAAGGAGCTGGGATCTCAAAAACCCTTCTTGTCATAACAATCACATCAACTACAGCGGCAGCCAATTTTAACAGAATTTACTTACTTGAAGAAAGCAAAGTGTTCTGACTGATTTCTGATACAACAGAATAAGCATGGTCAGCTTTCAGGAAAAACTTTCAAAGAGACAGGATCTCTTTGCTGTTTTCAAAGAAACACCATCAGAGTACTCTTCCCTCCACTGTAAGTAAACCCAGTAGCACTGCAGGCTTTACACTCTGGGGACCGTGAGGCTGCACCATCCACTCTTCTGCTGGGACTTGTAGGATTCCAAGGGAACAGAAGGGAGCCCAGATTGTACATTTTTTCTCTAGCTCTAATGTTCAGCACAGCAAGGCATCTTTTGTGCCATCTGATGCATCTCAAAAAGGATGTGTGTGAACGATGCTTCTATGTGGCAATCACTCTGTACTGCTGAAACTCCAAGCTAGACTCTGCATGGCAGGTTTTGAGCCCTAAAACCTAGATCCTTTGAAATTTGTTCCCACGTACCTATCTGGTACAGTTTCTAGTACTGTGAGTTAAAGAGCAGGACTTTCAGTAGTCCTCAAAAGTCAAAATCCCTTGCTAGGTCCACTTTACATTAGCTGATGCTTCACATAGCATTCTGTTCAACTACTTATCCCCCATTTTTCTGGTATAGATATTTATTTTGTTACAGGTGCAGGGGAAAATTCTATCATCATTTCCTAGCAAATTCAAGGCAAAATATTTTTTTACAGCTTTTTTTTTTTTTTAAGTTAGTCTGTGTACACCTCATTCTGAAGAATGCCCTGGAACACAGTGTTACCTGCCAAAATCCATTACCTTCTGGATCCCCTAAATTCATTGAAAATTATAGAAAGAATGAAAAAAAAAAACAGTTGTATGACCTGCTGCCACAAGCAGATAAAGCTTCAGAGAAGAAACATTTGTGGCCATGCTCTCATGGGGTGCTGCTGGGAAGTAATTTTCACTAGTTATGCTTACAGATCAGGAAAGCAAGGTAAAAAGCCTGATGATGATAACAACTAGGTGCGGTATCCATCGTGAGCCTCTTTAGGGAAGCAATTTTCAAGGATGTATGTGGAAAAAAAATACCTGTTGAAAGCCAGTTAAAGTATTTTGTGGAAGTCTTGTAACAGCATACATCTTTTGTGTAGTTTGGCCTGTAGTTCATATTTACTCAGATTCTCGCTGTAATCCCTGCTGCAGTTGCCTTATGTTATATGGAGTAGCTGAGAAGCATATTATTTAATTATGAGAAAATCTGTTTGGAAGATAGCTTGACTATCCATCTAACTGGATATGTTAAAAGGTCCCCTTGCTAACATATTATATCACATCCATATAAAGCTGCCTCATATATGGTAGTCCAAATCATATGTTTTAAATAGCTTCATGTGGAAAATACTTTTACTTTATTTGGAGCAAAACCTCTAACACTGTTTCTGCTGTATCAAGGACTGCTGCTGTCAGTCACTGGAATTAATTCAGTCAGAGACTGAACTAGTGAGAAAGTTCCAGAATATCACTCCAACTTCCAAAAATGTGTTCAAAACAACATTATGTACTTTTCAGCTGTAAACTCTCCTGCCTCTCTTCCCAGCATCAAGTAAGCAAGATACAAAGGATTGCTGGAAGAACCAGAGCAAACATGCACTAGAGCACCTGATAGCACATCATGCCAAGTTACATACTGCACTGGTAAAAGTCCACTGATATTCTGAGAAATAGCAAACAACACTGACTTTACCCTAAAAGTCTCTGGGGCTTCAGAGGTAAACAAAGTTTTATTATCTGTGCAGCCTTCTGTAAACAAGCTATGCTTAGTACTTTTTAAGGAAAACTTGGCTTGACTTAAATACAGCCTCCAGTGAACATCAAAATAATAATGAGTGCACCTTCCATAAGCCATTGTAAAGTCTTGTATGATTCACTTGCAGTGAATTGCCCCACCCCATAGACTGAGAATGAGCAGAGCAGCCACTCTCAGACTGGCCCCAACCCTGGGTTTGTAAGGTGGGCAGGAGGAAAGGTCTTCCCCTGCTGTGAGACACACTCAGGACTAAAGGCCAGTCTTGGTAGAAGTGTCAGCCCAGAGTACAAGGTCAGCTCAACGCTTAACTGAATCCCCATCCATACGAGCAAAACCTTCCTGTTCAAACTGACAAGGGGGGTGGTGCTTATGCTGTTTTGCTGAGGGAGTTTCCAACTCCTATGCTGCTGATGCTCATGTGCAGTGGAACAGCTCATAGGGTCCCTCTGCTAATACTGACACTTTCTGCACACCAGACCCATTCTGCACATTTCTTTGCTCTTTCTATATTCCTGTGAGTTAAACCCTGTGGGTATTGTTCAAGTGTGGTAATTTAAGATGACCAATACAGTGAAGTCAAGCCCTAAAGGAAGATTATCCTGTTTCTGCTGAACCACATTTAGAAGGATCACAGCAACAGGAATAAACTGGTTCTTCCTACTTCCAGCCAAGGCATTCAGCTGCCTGGACATGAAAAATCTCAAAAGTAAATTTCCTTCATTGAAATGTAAAGCTAGAGAGTAGTCTTCAAAAGATCTGTGTCAGCATCTCCTTGTTTCAAGATTTCATATTAAAAAACATGATAAATGCTATTTTATGCCTGTATGTTCAAGCCAAGCAGTTTATGGTGTTTAAAAATTAATACAAATTTTAAAGCTTTTGATAATGCAAACCTCAGCTTTCTGGATTTCCTTTTTTGCTCCTTTATGTGTGCTGCCAAAATATTTGTTAACCAGCTGCAACCTTTACCCTAGTTTCACTGGGTACTAAAATAGTCTGTTGTGCTGTAGATGTGTTTCTCTGCTTTTAATTTGCTGTTCACGTCTACAATGGCATGTAGTAACCAACAGCCTTTTGTGAGGCAAAGGTAACCAATGGAGTACAGCAAGAACAGAACACAGAAAACGTTGAAAGTTTAATCCTACATACAAGCAACATCCTCTGACATTTAGGCAAACCTGAGTTCAGATTTCTGAACTGAATACTCATGATCATGAGTCACATCTAAGGCATTTTTTACCCAATCTCTTTTTTATTTCCTATAGACTCTCTATATTCTCCTTTAATGTATAAACAAGGAATTTTAATGTGTATTAAGCTAAAATGCTTCAGAACCTCAACACAGGGATGAGAGAAAGAATGATTCTGATTTTGCCTCCTTAATGCAGCTTGGAACAGTTTAAAACCTCCTTAAAATAGTCA